GTATCTAAAGCTCTGGAGAGGTGGCAGATACATGAAAAGACACATGTAGAAGAATGTGAGGTAGTGTGTATCTGTACACACAATGCAATACGTATTGGCCARCAGTGGCCCCTGTAGTCCCCACGTCACCTTCTCCTGCACTTTGTGCAGAGCCAGGAAGATCAAAGCAGCAGAGACAAAGAGATGAAAAACCAAGTACCAGAGTAGCCACCCTGACGCTGACATCTCAGACCAGCACTCTCAGCAATGAATCGTTTCCATGGTCACTTTTTGCAAAGTTAAAGTTCTAGTTTACTAGAACCTGTTTTATTAAACACCTAGCAAAACTTAATGGGTCCTATCTACACTTGTGCATTCCATGACCAGGCTGCTGATGAGGGTATCCAAGTGACTCTAAGAAGACACAATCAGTAGTAGACTGAGGATAGGGACAGATATATAGAAATAGATGAGACACATGATAGATGATGATGATGATGATAGATAAATGGTAGGTAAGTAGATAACAGATAGTAATGATGGAGTAGATGATGGATGGCTTAGATGATACAGACGGATGCATTAATCTCTCTCTCTCTCTCTCTATATATATATATATATATATGTATGTGTATGTGTGTGTGTGTGTGTGTGTGTGTGTGTATATATATATATATATATATATATATATATATATATATATGAAGATAGGTATGTAAACGATAACTGAGTTCAATGAATTTCAACATGGTCCCAGAAGAGTGTGAGGTTCTGTGTATCTGCATCTTTCCCATCAGGAACAAGATTCCTGCCTCAGCACAGCAGAAGCACGTTCTAGTCTCACTTTTTTGTCTTATTCTTCTCCCCTGTCAAACTCAAAATCTCTTGATTATAACTAAATCTGCAGATTTTATTAGCCTCTCTGATGATCTTCACTAACTGGGATGAAACCTTAAACTGGAAGAAAGAGATGTGCTCACAGAAGCTCATCACTTCCAAGTTTCCTGTGTGTCCAGGGTCCATATGTCTTTCTTCTAAGCCTTCTGTCAAGTACCAGAAAGAAGGGGGGGAGGGAAAGATCACCAGGTGTTAATGCATTATGGTGTGGATATGAGGTGTCCACCCAAGGTTCTTCTTAATGCAGGAATATTCAGAGGTAAGTGATTAGATTACTAGAGCTGTAAGCCAATCGGTCCGTCCTGATTTGAACGGACTGAGTGGTAATTATAGGCAGGTGGGATGTGATGGAGGAGGGAGTCACTCAGTGCGGGTCCTGGAAGGGCATATATCCCCGGAAGCCCTCCCCATCACCCTCCCCACCCCCTCTGCTTCCTGACCCCACCATGAGCTGAGCAGTTTTTCTCCTCTGGGCTGCCACATCTTAGACCCAGAGCAATGGAGTCAGCTATCTATGGACTGAGACCTCTGAAAAAGTGAGCCTCAAATAAACTTTTCCCCCTAAGTTGTTCTAGTTAGGTATTTTGGTCACAGCAATGGAAAAGCTGACTAAATCAAAACATAAAATTTGTTGGTTTTTTTCCCCTAAGATGTTCCTTTCTTAGATTCCAGAACCCAGGCTGCCCAAAAGCACAGTTACAGAGCAGCTACCAGCTCAATTCATGGAAAAGGATTCCTCAGACTCCCTGCTTGAACTGAAACAATATGCACCCCCCATGCCCCCACTGTCACATGATGCAACAAATCTCATGATCCTACACAGGTAAATAGTTTGTCCATCTTTTGGGGACCCTGACACCCTGGGAATGAGAGAAGAAGGATCTGGGATGGAAATGGATGGCAATGATCCCACTGAGCCTCCAGGTTTGGTTTATGATAAATATCATCGCTGACATCTATACCTAAGAGGTCCCACCCTCCACGAGCCTGGCCCCACACATCTCATTAAATGTCTCAGATCGTGAGGGACAAGTGCTCCAACCTGAGTTCACTCACAGGAGATGCCTACAGCTGAATGGACAATCTACTGACTCTGTTTCCACTTTCTCGTGGGTCACCTACCTCTTCTCGAGGCACCCATTCTAGAATGGAGGTCAGACATGGACTGACCTCTGGCTCCGTCCAGACCTCACTCAAGTCTCACACACATGAGAGACTTTGGCAATCATTGTGTCAGGAGCTTTCTCCTYTCCAGCACATGGCCCTCTCAGATGGAGCTCAGACCTCACTTCACAGCCTGCGGCCAACCTCTCCAGAGAGCACTCTGCATCACGCCCACAGACGTTATCTAGCTCTAGCAGACCATGCAGAGGGAAAGGGAAACAACCCTCACTTTATATTTTCTGAAGAAACAAAAGTGTTTAAATTTCTAATACCATCAATGGCCCAGAAAAACAATGTACTCTGACTTAGCTTCAATTACCTCATTTTCTTTAAACAAAATGGAATCTGAAGCTACACAGAGGTTCTGGTGSTGAAGGAAGAGCATTAGCATAAATACTGGCTTGGTGGAACTTATATTTTTCTTGAACTCACAGAACTGAAGCGAGCGCTTGCTTTTTTCTTTCTTTCTTCTTGCTGCTTGMATTTTCTAAACATCAGCAAAAAACTGCTCTGGCCTGGCTTTTAAGTTTGGTTGCTGGCACCCATCAGAGAATTGATGAGGGATAACTATTTTTTCATTTGAAAAAATTATTTATTAAATTAAAATGGCCAGCCCCTACAGAGAAGCTGAGGCCAAAGTCCTGTTGTTTGTTAGMACAGCTAGCAGATAACAGAGCTCCTGTTGACAACTGGAATGTGCTATGCCAACCAGGCTTGCAGCCAACTTCGAAGAAACCCACCCATTCACTGTATTTTCCCCTTCTGTGCCGGTAACCTGTCACTCATAACCAACACAGGCAGACAGCATGGATCTGATAGCAGTCCATCCCTATGCCATATCATATTGAGGCAGAAATTTTTATGCCTAATTCTGGCTTTGTTTCTTTTTGGATGGAGTTTCCTAACTGCAGGGGTCTTCATTCTGTACCAATGTATACATTCAGGGTTAACCAGTGGTCCAACCATTTTGGTACACCCAGAGCAGTGCTGGATATGCTGCCCTTGCCCACAATAACCATTCTTTCTCTCTCTCTCTTTTTTTTTTTTTTTTTTTGGTGGTGGTGGGGGAGCAGCTGGGTACTGAGAATTGAACTCAGGGGCACCCACCTCTGAGCCACATCTCCAGCCCTAGTTTGTATTTTATTTAGAGACAGGGTCTCGCTGAGTTGCTTAGCGCCTCACTGTTGCTGAGGATGGCTTTGAACTTGTGATTCTCCTGCCTCAGTTTCCCCAGACACTGGGATTACAGGCACCACTGCGCCTGGCCACCATTTTTCTTTAGCTATGAATCTATTATCTATGGAGTCCACTTGCTACTCAGAATGAGCACAATCCACAATGCCTCGCTGTATTAAAATGAAATYAGCTCCAATCTGCTGCTGAGTAAGCGTGGCCCAAAGGCCACATCCAATGGCCAGGGCTGCACAAAACTCTCAGCGTAGATGTGGGCACTGCCTGTGTCGGCCTTTGGTGTTCCATTCAACCATGGTGCTGAAAGCATCCTTCCTGCCTTTCCGTTCCCCTTCATCCCCCAGACTCTCGATGTTCCAACCTGCCTTACATCTGCAGCAGGTTACTGGGTCACTTTCCCACTCACTGGATGTGACCCCAATGCTATCTCGGAGTCTACGCCAGCCCTTGCCACGGCTTGTGGGACACACCAGTCACATTCCATTCATCTTCTCATCTTTCCCCTTGGCTGGAAGCTCTCTTAGGGATGGGACCACCTGTCAAATATTCTCTGTGCAAAATGCTCCCACAGAAATAACCACAATAGCCCAATAGATCCATTTCTTACAGGTTTCCTTTGAACCACAGCACCCACATTCTCCCTGAAAAAATAGACATGTCTTCCAAATATATGGAAGTTTTTAACTACTAAGACCACCAATGGCCTCTGACCATTTCTCTTTTAAGAAAATGACACTTGAAACCACAGAGACGTTCTTGGGCTAAGGAAGATGCTTCAGCATAGGGTCACTCTCAGGGGTCCCTGTCACCCAGAGCTTCAAGGCCATGTTGCCTAGAATGCTTTAGAAGGCCTCCCACAGTGGGCCTCCTCTGATCTGCTCACTGAAGCASGGGGCTGGCCAGACTCCCCTGTTTTTCTCTTCAAATGTAACATACACTTTTGTATCTGTTACTTATCACCAGAGTTAAGTCCCTATCCTCCAGCCATACCTGACCTKCCTTTGTCAAAAGGTCACCCGTGTGACCTTGCCTTTGCTGCACAATGAAGACTGTATGTACTCTGTCCAAGCCAGATCAAATGTCACCTGTCATATTTTTGTCACTTCCTCCCCACACTGCTCCCATCTCTCTCTAAAAATCCCTTCCAGTTGGCGTGGCTTTGCTTCACATCATCTCCTAGTAATAACATGAAACCCAGAGAGAGACCCGAGGGGGTCTGTTGTTGAACCAGCAGTTCAGACAGCACCTGGCTCCTCAAAGTTGCTTAACAAACAACTATCCCAAGATAAATGGACTGCTGTGGCCACAAAATTTAAACAAAACAAAAAAAACATTCATCTGGGTGTAGTAACAATAAAGGGAGCCAACAATAAAGGGAGCTTTCTCAAGAGAAAGCACCAACATGCAGAAATACAGAGCAGAGACAGACTTGCAAGAAGAGTCCAGAAAATGTCTGGGATTCCTAAAGCACCACAGCGAGAAGACCTCTGACATCCTCAGGATCTGCCTCTATCTGCAGGTCACCTCCCAAGGTCAGGAGAGAAATGGGAAGCCCCTTCCCAGTGACGTGTGGCCCCAGTTTTGCTGGGCAAAGCCATGGCACAAATGTCACTCATGTACCCAGAGACCCGTTAAAGTGCCGTGAAACCCAGGAGGTGCTGGATAAATGAGAACTGAACTGACTCAAATGTCTAGGGCCTCCTCACATCGCGCCTGGGGCCCACAGGTCCTGTACACATAAGCTGACCGAGATGATGTCTGTGTTTTACCTCTTTAAGAACCAGCACACATTTGCCGGGCCCCACCGACTGAGGTAGCTCCGCGATCCTGCCTTTGTTCAGGTAGGGGCCTGAGAAACACCGGTGGTTGATGAACAGCTGCGGGCAGCAGTACTTCCCATTGACGGTTCCTGCGGGGGAGACAACACAGCAGAGGCTTTGGATCTCATCTCTGGGACTTGGGGGACAAGGAGGCACATGCTTGATCTGCTAGTCAGCAGAAGTCACCTGGAGTTGCTGTCCAGGGTCTTGACTGATGGGGACTGTGAACAGTCAGGACCCCAGGGCCAGCACTGTTGGAATCCTAATTAGGGAGCCTCACTCTGTTCCAAATTGTGACACAGTGGAGAAAAACAGATGATTTTCTTCTTTGGAGAAAGAGGCACGGTATCCTAACATCAGGACGCTTTATAATCATAATGATACCTTAAAAGTTACAATGATTTTTTTCCACCATACTCACAAATTTCACTATTGATTGGGCAGCATTCAAGATACACAGAGCTACAAAGACTACGATGATGTCAACCCAGCCATCACACAGCTCAAGCAGAAACTCACTCTGGCTTCCATCTGCCCTGTTCTTAGTCTTCCAACTTCAACAGTGAACAGGGCACACTGTTGGTTTTACTCTATCTAAAGGTGCCATAGCAAAAAGTAGAGTGATTAAATGATATGTTCTCACTCTAATGTTTCTTGATGTTTATAAAACAGAATGAGGTTCTACTTTTGGCTAAGAGACTCCCTCTCACTGCAGCTCCTGCCCCAAGGTAAGCTACACCATCAGCGGTATTTCTGGACAAGTACTGCTATTAATTCGGGATGGCAATGTAACAGGAAGTCCTGTTTTTCATAAAACTCAATGGGTAGGAGGTAGACATGTTATTCTTCTGGATATAAGAGGAAAGGAGTGAAATTACCATTGTAGAATATGAAAGCGCAGCTTGTAGGGTCCCTTTAAGATCATTCTGAATTTTGAATTCAATATCACAGGCAAAATCAAATTCACAAGTGCATTTATACATAAATTTTTGGTAGGATTATGCTGCCCAAACCTTAGGAAAAAACATTTTTAGTTAAGTCTACTCATAAAACTGCTCTGTTCAATACAAAGATAAGTTCAACTAATAGGACTCTTGTGTGGCAAATAGTTTTCAATCCTGGAATTCAGAGTGGATTTCGTTTTAGCATAGAAAACAAAATTCTTAATCAAGTATTACTCAATGCAAAAACATGTCTGCTGTCCAACAGTAGCTCACAGAAGACCTCACAACCAGCTATTCAAACTCAGGATTTTAACAAAGAATTCAACAGGCAGTGGGGACTTAAGGAATAATCACTAAGATGAAAATTCAAGTGACACTGTGACAAAATGTCAAAAAAGGAGTGCCTAATGATGATATGTTCATCGCTTTCCTGTCCTGCAAGGACATCCATATATACTACACCGTACTAAGCTGGCTCCTAATTCCAACTAGCATGTGGATCCTTTTCTGCAGATCCGGAGACCTCTCTAGGGCTATTGGCCAAGAACAGAAGAGAAGAGGGAAAGCTACATTAGTTTAGAAATTTTAAAAAGGCAGCTACCTGTTAATGAGTTGTACTAGAAAAAGGAGAATAGACTCAAAGTTGAGAGATACTCATGGAGACCTAAAAATACATGCATGTCTCCAGTCACAGCTACAAACTGGAAGGGACAGAAAGCCCTTAATGGGACCCAATTACCTGTGGAGTCCAGGTGAGGGAATAAGCAAAGGTCATGAGGTATTTTCTCAACAGGCACTGTGGATGGYGATCTGTGGATAAAAAGAGCAAACTACCATGGGTCACAAGCTTTTGAAGAAACAAGTACATTCTGAAGTTTTCTCAGAATATAAAGTGAATATTTCAGAAATCAAAGACAAGAGCATTATAAGATAGGATGTGTACGTAAGAATGTTTCAGCAAGACCAGATAAAAAGACCCTTTCAGAAAAGTTACTCTCAAATCCTTCTAATGACCAGAAAAAGCAGAAGGCACATCTGCCTCTGAGTAGCCATCACTGACCACGAGTTTCTTCTGGGTTGCTGCTGGGCATGTCTCTTGTCATAGAACTGTCGTAACAGTTTCAATTTTATATTAGACAAGAGGAAAAATACACTTAGATTTAATTAAAGTCAGACATTTCCTCTGTGGTGACTAATTGAAAACCACTTTCTACTAACCCGAGTTTCTGACTTCTGTGAATTACAGCCACACTAAARAGGAGAACTTAGAAAAATCCTATAAACTGATGATTCCTAAAATGTGAAACAGGCTTACTCTAACAGAGCTCTGTTATACTTCAGTTTGTTTGTTTGTTTATGTACTCATTTTGCAATCCTGAAGATTGAACCCAGGGCCCCTGTACCACTGAGCCACATCCCCAGCCCTTTTTACTTTGTGTTTTGAGATGATAGGTTCTTGATAAAAGTTGTCCAGACTGGCCTTGAACTTGAAATTCTGCTGCCTCAGCTTCCTGAGTTGCTGGGATTACAGGCATGGGCCAACATGCTGGGCTGACAGCTCAGTTTAAAAGATAGCAAATAAATATATTTTCTGAAACATAGAACTGAGACAGGTTTCACAGGGACCCCCAGGCTGGCCCGCATGGAAACCACACAGCTGAAAAGCTTCATATAATCACAGCAGACATCACAATCCATCCTAGAGGAGTCATCTACAGCAATGGTTCTCAAAATGTGGTCCCCAAGCTCACAGTGTTGGCATCACCCTGRAACTTGTTAGAAATGCAGAACCTCAGGCCTGGACATCCTGAATCAGAAATACTGGGACTGGGACCTAGCAACCTGTGTTTTTCCCAAGCTCTCCACATGACTGACATACGTAAAGAGTGAGAACCATTCATCCATAGACTACAAATTTGGATTCGATTTTGGGTCTATTATTAATCCCTTTACTTCATGTTAGGTGGATAAAATGAAGTTGGGTTATGAGTCTGTCACACTATGTTTTAGAAATAAATGCATTAAAAAAATCCACAAAACTGTTATTCAAATAACAATGCTGCTCTTGCTCAGTTTCACTGCATTTAAATTTAAACCTGAGTTTGTGATAAATGCTGGTTGCAGCTAACATTCTATGCATTTATTTTTATTGATCTAAGAAAACACAATTACTTGCAATGGAATGTACATTTTGGTGTATTTTAAATATTTCACAATATATATAAGGGTCAGCAGCCAGTTATAACTTTTCAGAGACATACTGCTGCACGTCCACTCTCGCCCAAAGCCTCTTTCCTCCTAACAGTACAAGTGAAATGGTGCGAGGGGCAACCTACCTTTGTTCAATAATAATTCAAATTCCATAATCTTTTTTTCACATGGGAATCTAATTTAATCTTCACAAAACCCTGAAAAATAGGTATTTACCAGGGTGGCTACTGAGATATGGAGAACTAAAGCAGCTGGCTCATGTGCACCCAGTGGGGAAGCAGCAGAGTTGGGGTGACACTGAGTCCGTTCTTTGTCTCCAGTCCTGGTCATGGCTGAAGAGGTGGGGAGGAATCTCCAGCTCAGGGAGAAGAGCTATGCTTCCAAACCACACTGTCACACAGGTCCCTGAGGGTACCCAGAGTCAGTGAGTGGGTTTGAGATAATTTTCGGGGGTGAAACAGAAAGTGAGCAATGACAATCAGGACTACAAGTTCCTCTGGGAGCTGACACTGCATTTTGCACATAGTAGGTGCACAATAAGTAATAGCAGCTACACTTGACTATCACTTTTACTCCATACCACTCTTAGCTACTCTCTAAGAACAAGTCAAACTTCCTATCCTCTACAAAGAAACTTTACAATTTATCATACGGTTTTGGAGAAAAATGAAAAAAAATAATCAACGTACTGTTTTTCTGGCTGCACAACTGCAATCTTTCTCTTCTTTTGGGCTATAGACAGACAAAATATAGGAAGAGAAAAAGAAAATCACATTGTTAGTTAGTGGGACAGATGTATTTTTAAAAAAGTGACTTAGTGTAAGGATATGTCCATTTTAAAGCAGCACTTTAAATACTGAGGAATTATTGTAGTCAAGCCACAATTTTATATTAATTTCTTCTAGCATAAAACAGAAAGTCATCAGACAAGAGATCTTAATAGAACCTGGTGCATTTAATCTTATCACTACGCTGGCTACTTTATTTTGAAAGGTGCTTTTAATGAGAAAGAAAAAAAGAGTACATCAGTGAACATGTGAAGATAAACTGTTGCAAGCATGATGATCCAGAATGATTTTTCCCCTCAGAAGCTGTGATAAGGCAAATAATGCTGCATTGACAGTGTCCCCTAGATGAGCCCCAGAGGCCTGCATTTAAACTAGAATATTGAATTACTGGAAGAAGAAGTAGTGGTTAACAAATACATCTAGTCAAATATTGACATAAATCAGCAAATAATGATATTTTTGGATAAAAACACAGTTTATATCTCTATCCAATTATATTTCTATATTACTATCACCTTAACAAAAATAGACCAGAGCTTTTGGCACCTATTAATCTTGGCTCAGATAATCCTGTGTCTTCCGATGTAACCATAAATTAATTCCACCAGTACTTCAAAAGCTGTGAGAGTCTAGCAGGATAGAGTCAGAGTTTGCCTGCTCACAGCAAAAATGTATGGTTAATAAATGAATGCAAGAATTAATTAAACACTTGACAAAATCTTTACCTATTCTTGACTTTATTTGGCATTTGATTCTAGCTGTTACTTTAAAAAGTATAAACTTTTATGATCTCTAAGGTAAAAAAAAAAAAAAAAAAAAGGAGTATAGAACAACTTGCCTAACTCAGTCTGGGGCTGGGGGTGGGAAGCCTGATTATATGGTAGCCTGGTAAGGAGCCAAGCACAACAGAAAAATAAAGCAGAAACACTACAATGTTTCATCCAACATGTGATTTTGCTCCAGAAAAACTAAAAGCACTTGCAGCCCCCCACATCCACGTGCAAGAGGGAGGAAAAAGATACAGGATGCTATTAAGTCTTATCTAAGGGAAAACAAGGACAAAAAGGACTGAATCCAACCCCCTGGCAGACCTCGGGGAAGATATTACTTGATAAGTTTAAGCCAGTTAAAGTTTTATCTTCTCCTCCCTTTAAAACATTTTTAATCAATGAATGTTCTTTGGATCTTAGGGACACACTCTCACCACTTTTGATGCAGATTCTTAACCAGCTCGGTAGTGAGTAAAGCACAGCATTCTAAACTGCTCTTGGTGAATATGGGGGGAAGGAGATCCTTCAAAATCTGTGGACATCAGGGATTCGAAGCCCACTATGTGATAGAACTTTGTTCATAGCTATGTCTGGAGAAGAAATGGAAGTTACCATGGAACAGGGTGCCGGGAAGAAGTAGAGATGGCATGCAAATTCTATAAAGAAAATATCGGAAATGCAATCTTTTTAATGGAAAGGTGAAGCCCACAATCTTTGAGAACTCATAGCCTTTGATGTGCTTTAGGGTGGGATAACAAATGCAAAGATTTATTAGGATTTTGAAGCAGTACCATCCTCACCTATAATAACATGTTAAAACCACTGTTGTATGTATTAAAATGTACATGAGTGTTTGTGTTTGTGTGTTTGTGTGTCTGTGTGTGCATACTGCTGTAACAAATATGGACACTGGTTTTATTGGGTATTTATGTGATCACAAGGATGTAACACACTTTTTAATATACAGTTGAAATCTCACCGACTAATTAGTGCTATGAGTAGGTTCAATATTTCTAAGTATTTCCGTAAATTATTGGACTATGTATGATTCCTTTACAGGAAATTGCAAGAGAAAAATTAGATCTTTCTAAGAAATGATAATACAAAAACATGGTATCTAATTTAATTTTTATCCCATCAACATAATAGATTGCACACGAAACTGAGAGTGAAGATTTAAGATATATCTATTTTTTTCTATTTATCTCTCTGGGACTCTCAATGGACTCCTTACTTGGATCGTCAACCTGTGAATGTTACTCTCATGCACATACTTGAAGGATAACAGAGAAAAAATTGGTGTTATTTGGGCCATCTAAAATCTTYCTCTATTTTTTATGACTTTTCATACAAAATTACCTAGCTATTCACCAGATCACACATTATCCACCATCTATTTAACTGGGCAACACTCACAGACTGTTTTGTGTGGTGTCGTCAAAGGGTAAGAATTAGCTTCACACCAGCCCACTGGGAAGATATCCATGGATTCCACATCCACAATGACCTCTGGCACCGGAGTCTGCAGACCTACAGGGCAAGAAACAGAGACAATAGGTACCAACAAAGAAACAGAGGAAAATCAGAGYATCTCTAGGACTGAGAAACATGGTCCTTCAAATGTTAAAAAAAAAAAAAAATCAATAGTATTTCAGATATGACTTTAAGGAGTCTATAGTCTTGTGATAGATATAAATGTTAGAATTATACAACAGAGAACAGATAAAGGGGTTCCAAAAACGTGGGGGTTTGGAAAAGAGAGGCACTTCCTCCTGAAGATGGGGAGGGAGAAGGACTTGGGAGAGAATGGATTGGAGCCAAGTTCTCTGGAAGGAATAGTGCCTCCTTCTCTAAGGGCAGCTATGAAATTGAGAAAATGGGGGAGCTTGGGGTGGAGGCCACAGGGCACACACGTAAGCCACCATGCCATGYTTCCCCCAAGTCCAAGCAAAGATCACCTCAACCGTCCAACATGACAGCTCAAAGCGGCTGCTGATGGATTCCAGTGATTAGGAGCCCAGCCTGGTGAGGAGGCAGTGCCTCCAGGGAACTTGTTAACTTCCCAGCTTGACCCGAGATGCTGATTTTGAACTTGGTTTGTGGTCTGCAGAGTCACACCAAAGTTGTTTATGCAGGAATGTCTTTTTAGGGGGATCTGTCCAACCACCACGTCCTGTCTCATAAACCCAATCATGCCTTATGATAAACTGGCATCACAGCCAGGAAAATAAAAAGACCAGAAATCTGTGTACAACAGCAGTGTATGTTTCAAGGAGGGCTGGCCACACAACAAATCTGGAACCCAGCCCACTTGTTATAAGAAGAAAATTSTACCCTGGATCAATAGTTCTTAAGGAAAAACACGGCTAGGGAGAAACTCCTGAACCAAGAATCAAAAGATAAGAGCTGTTTACAGAGAGCGATTCCCAGACTCTGACCTCTTAATCTAGTATGCTTTGGTTTCCTGAGAACCAAGGTGAAAACACCACAGTTAACCCTGTTAGACTCTGTGTCACCACATGTCAYCTGATAAATGTGGAATCAACCACCCCTCCCCCCATGAAATTATCATTTCAGGAAACTAACTATACAAGATGGTCCTAACAGCACCGTTAGCACCACGACTCCTGTCTCCTAACTCCTCACCCTAAAGCAGATACCGTGAAAACCAAGCATCTAATTTGGTAAGGACAAGCTGCTAACTTAGTGTGAAATCAATGTACTGTTGAATATCTAGAACCCCAATACATACATGTTATCATTCGTTATTCTGATTTTGACTGGTTCTCCAAGAAACCAACCAACTTTCTATATGCTTAATTTTAGAATTTCAAGGATATATAAGTTAAAGGAATGGAAAAAGTTTTATAGGGCTTATTTCTCAAAGAAATGAACAGAAATCATTTCTGTCTAATATCATAAGATTTGGTCAGTATTGAATCTAATTGCTAAAGGAATCATCAAGTCAACATCAAACAGTAGGTTCAAATAGACCAAAGATGAAGACGCTCCCCGCAGCTTCCAATGAGGCTGTGACTGCCCTGTCCTGCGGGGCTCCCGAGTCTCCAGAGGACCAGGGCAAGGGCCCGGCAACACTTCCCAGCAGGTTGCTTGTTTCTTAGCTATGTGATCATTTTGCCAACAGGTTAAATTCATTCACCAAAAGTGTTCGTATTTCCAGATTTGTGTTTAGTTACAAATAAGATTTTCAATGTCATTCGAAGCAGCACTTCAAAAGGAAGCATATAGTGAACTTCAGCTTTAAGTTCTTCCTAAACTGTCTTTCATCTCTAATGTTCTGTTGGTGCAAACATCACATCATATTGATGCTTTAGTATATACTTACATATGACGAATGCATTAACAAGGCTGTTTTACCATCTTTACAATTGTCTGATCATGCTTCCCATTCAATTGAGCTTAGAGAGGCCAGCCCCCCTTTTCTCAAGAGACTTAATAGCCCTACCTTCCTTCCATCCCAATCTAGTCTATGAAGGCATCTATTAAGTGAGAGTGGATAGAAACATGGGTGATTTAACAACCAGGAAAGTTTTCCCCAACCCCCAAACTTTTCAAATTCTATTCTTATTTTCTTGAACCAACCTTATAAACCTAGATAACTCTGACCAGACTCAGAATATATCTTTAAAAAAAAATCATTATTTTCCAAGTTGGCGACCCAATAGCTTACAAAATCATCCACTGAAATGAGTACAAAGCTCCTCCTTGCTCATTCCAGGATACATGCAAAGCACCTAGGCAAAACTGGATGTGTCACTAAAGATCAATTCATTTTTATCATTTTATAGAAAAAAATCCCTTATGAATAACTCATAATCATACTCAATTGTCTAAATTGCAACTATCAGTACAGATTCCACATGTCCAATCTTAACCAGAACATTCATCTCAAAATTCATTAGAAAACTGAAATTTCCTTCTATGGTAAAATGTATAAAAAAAAAAAGCTAGGGTCTGTCCAAATGATGGAATGTTCCCCAGATATAAAAAAGAATGAGAAACCTGTGTATAGACTTACATGTAAACATCTTCAAGATGTATTGTGAAGTAAGAAAAAGTATGCAAGCAGAGTGTGCACTTACCTATTTGGTAAGGGGGAAATAACATATATTCATATGTACATGAAACAAATCTGGAGGAAAATGCAAAATACTAACACTGGGAAAGGAACCATGTTGCCAGGGAACAGCGAATCACAGAGCAGGACGGAGAATATGACCAAAGATACTTTTACTGTTTATGTGCCTTTGCCAGTTATCTATTTTACAGCCACAACTTCATAACCTCCAAAATGACAATACCACAACAAAAGACATCCCGAGAAGAAAGGAAGAACCCTGCACATAAATGTGGTATTTCCACTGAGATCAGACCAATAAGATAAAGTTACCATTAAAGAAAATAAAACTAAGCAACAACGAATCATTTCACTGCTACAAGATACTCCACACTCACAAAATAAACTGATAAGAACATGACTTTTGTGAGAATCACAGTGGAACCTTTAAAGAAATTCTGGTTTTTCCCATTTTCAGAGGATTTTGTTCTCAATTCAGCAAATGACAAAGTTCTCCTTGTCCTTGCTGTTGGAGAGGCTTTGTAGGACAGCTCAACCCAACCAAAGAACAGTGCTTCAGGTCAATGACCTATTCTAGCCAGAAGGTTAGGATAAAAAAATGGAGATGACCTGGAAGGACACTTCGGTGTGTTCCCAGGAACACAATCCTAGCTGACTCCATGCAGTTATATAATTACCTCACTTTCAGCAAATCACAGAGGAGAGGGCAAGTGGGGATGCTACCAGGTGCCATGGTCAAGAGAAATCGGAGGGTAGAGTGGCCCAGAGTCAACCTCCAGGAAGGAAAATTATTTTCATTTACTTTGGTAATGGAATTGGAACAACCTCTTCATCTTGTTTAAAAGCCCAGATGGAAAGGAAGGTGAGAGTATTTAAGGGAAAGAGCCAGCTTGCTAAACTTCCCACTGTAACTCACAAGGTTCGCCAAATGCTCGCAGGCTCAGGAGTGAAAGGGAAAAACCTGAGAAGAATGAAAAGTGGATCTGACTGTCCCAGAGCAAGCAAGGACTGGGTGCTGGACACCCTGCATGCTGCTGACAGGTTTGTCCCCTGCACAGATGCCAAGCTACCAGTCACTTTCAGAGCACCCCCTTGTCAACCTTGGAGCCCAACTCCTAAGGAAGAAGACACAGGCAAAACTGGCTGGCAAGATCAAGGTATCAAAGGAAAGATGGTCTGAGAGCAAACAAGAGAAGGGAATAAAAGGTGTCTATGTGGGGTGTGTGCATGTGTGTGCATGTGGGTGGAGAGAGCCAGAGACACTCCCACAACAGCAAACACTTACAGCAGTTACTGCAGGCCAGACACTTGCTTCTCCATAGGTTTGAGGCTCACAACAATGCTTTTAAATTTTTTTTTTAAATTTTCATCTCCATTTTATATATGAGCAAACTTGAACTACAGGAAAAGATGATCCAGTGGTCAGTGGAAGATGCAGGATTTGAACCTGGACAATCTACCTGAGAGCCTTAGAAGGCATGAGGTGAGTAGTTCTAGTTTCTTACCCCTGGGTGGGGCTCTCTAGCATCTGTTTTCTTCCTAAGAGATCCCCATGTCTCATGTGCAGAATTCCCATATTAAGCAGAAGAGCGAGCCAGATAACCTGTCTCTGCAGGAAGGTACACAGGTTCAGGTTCTCTCTCCAGGGCTCTGGCGTCTGGTCACCTAAAAGTCACATTCATCACAATGGCAGCTAGGAACCCCAAACTTTGTTTTGGTTCCTCTGTCAAACCTCTGTCATCCACAGCCTCACAAATTACTCATGTCCTGCTGAAGACAGCCAGAGTGGGCTCTGGTCCTGGCCACAACAAAACAAGTTTGGTCCTAGTAACCATCTCTTCCCACAGGCAGCTCCTGCTCTGGGGTCACACTTTCCATGTGTCCACGTAATACTGCGCCCACAGCCTAATCTGAGGAAGCAGTTTCTCCCACAAATGTTTCCCGGAGGCCATACCTCTTTTGAAAGATGTTAAAACCACCCACGCTGGCTTGAAATATAATTATTTTCCCTTGTCTCATTTTTGCAAATGCATGCAAAATGCTTATTAACTACTTGACTTCTTCCCAAATTATGGAAAGGCTTAATAACAGGCGGTTGAGTGTCCCTAGTCTCCTAAACACAAAAGGTTGGGTCAAACAGATATCTCTCAGCTGAAACACCTTGCCTGTTAGACCTATTAGAGTTGTTTAGAAACTCTAGCGTGTGCAAAAGTCATGGGGAAGGGTGGCTTGGAGGTGCTGATTCCTAGCCCTTGCTCCCAGGGACTTGGAAGCCCTTTCAGGAATGTGCATTTTGTAGGACCCAAGTGGATTCTGATGTGGAGGGTCTTTCATTGAAACCAAGCCAAACATAGGGAAAAACTCATCAAGGGGTTTTTGAATTTCAGCCTCAAAGTGTAAAATATCTCACCCTCTCAAAATTCAACTGGAA